AAGGTCAGTATTATATTTTCCTTTCATTCATTTTTATCAAGAGTGAGGCAAGCACCTGGAAATTGAGAAAATCTTTGGAGCCCAGGTTTTGTTTTAAAATAAAACAAAACAAAAATGCATTGGACACAGGTTCAAGTCCAACAACAATCGACAGTGACTCTGTGGTGATCCATAGCAATTCAATGAGACGCATTCTCTCAGCTCGCCCTATCTCTCAAGATTGTTGCCATGGGGAAAAATGAGACAATGTAGTGTTTTATATGCAACCTTTAGTCCTTGAGCAAAAGGTGGGATATAAATCTAAGAAATAAAGAAAGCAGCATGAGGATCCTAGCCACTAACATGTTTTCTAGGGGTTTTTGAACATTATATGGATCTCTGTGGGATGCTGTTCCAGATTAATTTTGCTGGGGTGCTTTCTATAATGCCCTAATTAGAAGGGGGGAAAGGTAGGGCACTTGACTGGCTTAGAGGACCCTTCCAGTACCAGGTTTGAAATTTCAAATGCTCTGCCCATTACCTTCTTAGTCAACTGTGGAAAATTACAGCCTATAAAGTAAAATCAGAAGTCACATTATATTGGCAGGCACAAGAGGAAGATGGCAGAAATAGCATGAGTTCAAATTGTCTGGCCTTCACTACTCATGGCTGCGGTAATAGAAAATAATTGGTGGGATGCTAAATTAAAGAATGAGACTCAGACATAAATTGGACTTGGTGAGGAAAAGGAACATCTAAGCCAGGGGTCCCCAAACCCTGGTTCATGGACTGGCACCGGACCGGGGCATGCCAGAAACCAGGCCCCACAAACAAGCGAAGTCCCATCCGTGGGATGCAGGCAGCACACAAAACAACATCCATCCAGGATGCAGTACCACAGAACCAGTCCCAAAAGGTTGGAGGTCACTGATCTAAGCTTACCACTCTTTTGTTCTTCAGTATAATTGTTCATTTATGGTGGCAGAAGCCACTATAGTCGGTGCTGTTTCAGGAAAGCAGTACTTCCTGAGAAACAGAGAAAGTAAAGATCTGAGAACTCTATACTGTTTATGGCTAGAAGGCCTTTTAACTGAAATAGCTGGAATAAGCTCGCCAAAGGCTTTGTAAAGGACAAGGGGCTTTCAATCCAACAGTAATGGGCACTATTAATCAATAAGCAAGCCATGCCTGCACAGAACCTGACCAATGAAGCCTGAATGAATATAAGTGAAAAAGAAAGCAAATTCCAGGGATAAAAGATATGCAGCCAGGACAATAGAATAATCTAGCCTCAATGAGAGAGTGTATACAACCATGGCCTTTGGGTTACTCAATGGTTATTCCTACCTTCTCCTTTTTCTCCTTCTCCTACAGGCATAATATACCGGTAGATAGTCCTCATTTGAGAACCACAATTGGAACCAGCAATTGGAAACTTCAACTGTGCTTATGATCCTACTGTCATAAATGTGAGATGGTTAGTAAAGTTACTTTTTTTTATAACTGTCATGACTGCAAATGAGGCAGTCTCTATATGAGGACTCCCTGAACTTCTGAGGCCCATTATACAATATTTTTAACTTTTCATTTTTCTCAACTCTGCCTAAAAATACCAGCTGCTGTTTTTCTGATACTCAGCAATCCATTTATTCCTATCTTTTCCTGCTTTGATCTTCCATACATCAATTTAAAATAATCTCTTTTGATTTCAATGCAGTTCAGGATAAGTATGATTAGTTACTAATTTTCCAAGCTTTGTTAGAAACCTATAATTATTTATCAGAGATTAGAGAAATATGGAAAATCTAAAATCTTTTTTCTGCAGATTCAGGTCACAGTTTCTACATGATAGACCATTTCAAAGCAATTATTTATTTTCTGGATGTTTTATTGTTTTATAATTTAAGAATTGTAAGCCACCCAGAGACACTTGTTGAGTTGGGTGGCTATAGAAACTGAATACATAAATAAAAATAAATTCACTCCAGAGGGCAGTCAAAACACTGGCAGGCAGTATGCATTATGACCGAAATGCTCACATTCTGCAGAGGAAATGACTTCTTATTTCCCTCAGTCTTTCCAACTGCTTTTTCAATAAGTCAATTGGCTTCTCCAGCCCCACCTTATCCCTCGGGTCTCTGGAATTAAAACATTTAAAGTGAAGCTGGAGATAAAAACTTTGACAGGAGTTAGGGATTCACAGGGATCACACAGCTGTTGTTTGATAAAGCTGTAACTTTTTTCTAATTATTTTATTAATTTCATAAATCAAGTAACTCTTTTGCTCCCATTACAGTGTGAAACAACAGTTTGATTCCTGTTCGTGACAGGGGTTAAAAAAAATAAGGCAAAAACCTTCATCATTTTGCCCCAAATAAGCTGCCCCTCTACTTTTCTAATTATAGCATTGGATGCCAATGAAGGCAGAGTCTTCAACTGCAAAAATCCAATCTGCAAAACTAGTATATCTGTGACGATCAGATACAAAAAACAAAAGAAAGGGTTAGCCTTGCTGTGTTGAAGATTATTATGCATCACTGTTGAGGTAGATTGATTCAGTATGGAAATGCTTATGTTCTTATTCACTCAGAAATACTGAAGACACAATTTCTGCTGTTTCAGCAAATCTCTTGGCAATGGCCATGCTTAAAGCTAATTGGGATATAAAGCATAATGCTGTTTAGGACAAAAATTAAGCCACAAAGCATCATTCCAAGAATCATTCTTTTTAACGGAGCTCAACTCTTTTTTTTCAGTCCCAAATTTTGTCACTGTGAAAGCTAAAGACCAAGCTATATATCTGCATGCACAGCCTCTCCAGTGTTATGAAGAATTAAGTGTTAATAAACACATCCTAACTATAGAAATTACGCTCTTTCAACCAAATTTATTTCAGCTATGTTATGTGCTAAAAGGTGGCCCAAGACTATTTGAGAAGACTCAAAATTATCAACCCATAAAGCCTTATGTGGTTATTACATCTTCCTTTTCCCTANAAATTAAGAATAAATTTCCTACAGTGGGAAGAATTAACCAAGAGAACGGGTTGCTCCAGAAGTTGTAGCTACTCTATCACTGGAGGTTTTTACAAAGAGATTGGGCAGCCATTTATCTGGAATGATATAGGGTCTCCTGCTTCAGCGGGGGAGGGAGGTTTGAGGGGGAAGACCTCCAAGGTCCCTTCCAATTCTGTTTTTCTATATATTCTGTAGTCACAGTAAAACACAGAATAAGTTTAATTTGAAAACACCATAAAACAAAGGATTAGCTTAAAGCAGCCCCCCCTAAACTGCACTGAATGTGAAGAAGGGTCACACCTGTAAAGGAAAAGTAATAGATAATTCAATAACCATGTTCTAACTTTACATATAGAATTTGTAGGTGACAATTCAGTAACTTCATTTGCCTTTCATTTAAGCTTAATACTATTTCTAGCTGATCCAGCTGAACCTATCAAAAAGGCAAAGTAAGGAACATTTCTTTTCCTTTCCATGCATATTAAGTGCCAACTATAGTCAGCCTGCAACACCCAGCTTGCCATTTAGTCTTGATTTCTCTCCAACAAAGTTGGCCTGTGAAACAGGAAATTAGACACTGATACATAAAGCACTTGCCAGCCAAATGGCTTTGTTAGTGATCTCATTTCAGTGGAAAAAAACCTGGAGATTCAGAAGGGAATTGCACTGAAATGTAACAAACAAAAGGAATGAAATGACATAGCATTTTGCAGATGCACACACATTCTGCTCAAAGCTATCTGTTCCTAAGCGCTAAAAATGCAATGCACACCTCCTTCTACATCACCATCCTTCAATACCATAGCATAGTAATCATGCTATGCTATCAGCACATTACATGGATGGGGGCTACATTAGTCACCAGTATGTTTCTGGCTGGAACTTGTAGGTCAACCTTCCATTATGTGAACAGGCTTATCCACTATGTTCTTCCCATATGTAAGATGCCCCACTTACACCCTGCTTTTGTGAAATAAAGAGAATGGAGGCCTGGAGGGATGGTTTTCCAGTCACTGCTTTGCTCCATATCTTCTAACTTTCCAGAAATTACCTATGACAGAATTTTTCTAAAGAGTACTGGTTGTTGTCTTCTTTAGTTTGCCATGTTTCCTTTTCCTTTTTGTTAGTGTCATAGTTCTACTCTATTTATTATTATTATTTCAAATTTCAAATTTTTGATTAGTGGTTAGTTATTTCTATTTTTATTCATGGATATTTTAACTTATTTTATTATTGTTTTACTTCTGATTAATTCTTCAACTGCTATCTGAGCCTGTAATTGATTTTGTGATATAAAGTGGAATAAATAA